TATATAGTAATATACTATATATATATATATATATTATATATATATAGTTATTATAAACTATATATATATATATATATATATATATATATATATTTATACTTATATATATGTATATATATATGTATGTGTGTGTATATGTATATATATGTATATGTGTGTGTGTGAGAGAGAGAGAGAGAGTGTGTGTGTGTCTGTTTTTAAGTACTTTGCTGAGTGATAAGTAGCCACATCACTGCTGATGTAGTAAATCTTCGCAAACGGCACACTCATGCACATATTCTTGATGCATATTACAAGAGAATATAAGCAACCCCATGGGTATCTATATTTATTTGTGAATGCATATATGATTTTGTATAGTTTTGTATACATATAATAATGTAGGTATTTTTTGCATAAACATGTATGGTTTATGTATACATATAATCATGTAAATCAATAGGAAGATATACATGTATACATTCGTGTGACATTCCAAATTTGCATGTTTTCATACACACACTCTTTCATGTCGACGTATGCGTGTACTTGATGCTGAGACATGCGCACACACATTTTCACTAACACAGACATGCACACACATATATTCACTTACACAGACATGCCTACACACATATTCACATACACAGACATGCACACACACATGTTCACATACACACTCTCTAGTTTCGTTAACTTGGCGAGTAGCCCAGGAGTTATTCGCGGAGCGATATCATTGACTTGGAGATTCAAATACTTCAGGTCCACGAGGGTGTCGAAGATGCCACTGGGAAGACCGACCAAGTCGTTGTTGTATAGGTTGCTGCAGTGTACAATGAAGCATATACCGTTGCAGGAGCTACTAAGCCTTTGGCAATCAAGACGTGTTGGCTTAAGGTCGATTGCATTATGTGGCATTGAAGACTCGCACAGGTACATGTACATGTACATGTAGAGGTGCCCGCTGAGCATGTGTGCAATTCCTCTGTGTAGAGATATTGTCGTCGCATCGCAGGCTGACAAAGTGGCGACTTACAGTGTAACTAGCTTGGTGTTCTGGGCGAAGGCACTTCCAAGCAACTGATTAATAAAGTTGTCATACAGATCCCTGCAGTAGGTAACGGTAGGTAACAGAGGTATGTAGTATTCAGCAAAACAACAGGAAATGAAACAAGATTCACGTTCGTTAGATAAAGGTACCGGGCCAGATCAACGCGGCTGGCTTTCACGCACACCACGTACATACAGTTGAACAAGCTGCGTCAAATCGTCGAAGACACCGGGAGTGAGATACTGGATACTTCTGCTCGCTACGTTTCTGCGAAGGGACGGGAAGGTATAACAGTAGTGTGGTGAGTGGGAGTTGTATATATGCAAGAACTGGAGCAGAAGGATGAAACCCATAGTCATAGTGAACGATATATATATATATATATATATATATATATTCCAACTCATGCACGTCGACTCACAGGTACAGGCACGTCGCTGGAAGCAAAGAGGCCTCCCGGATAAGAACGCCCTGGGCATTCACGCAGAATGTTCCGCAAGTATTGCTCGATACTGTAAAGTGTGTGTTTAGGATACAACTATGAGTCTCGGCACAAATGGTAATATGTGCAGCCTGTAGATCCCTGGGTTCAATGAATATGGAATAAAGATCATTATGTGTATATCTTTATAAAATCGGAATGTGAGATGAACAATACATGTATATCTATAATGCTATGGTGTGTGTCAAATATAAGATCGTGGAAACCAAAAATTCGGCCTCAAACGCTTTAAATTTTGACCTGAAACACACCGATGTCCAAATCCGCGCAGCTCAACTCGCTGCAGTCGCACGATCCGTCGTCCTGTCTTACACAGCCATCAAAGCAACTGTCAGCCGCACACACAGAATCAGACGCACTCGTGCATACGCCGTAAATACACCCAGGAACAGCCGTACACATTTCGCAGGCTCCAGTAGTAGAGTCTGCGTAATACCCCTCGACGCATCCCCCGGTGCATAAGGGGAGAGAGAAGATCTCTACACTATTGGAGGTTGAACTGGTAGCACCGACGTACCTAGCGGGTGGGGTTAGCTCTGCAGTGCATGTCAGTGGGTTGTTGCCCATGTTCCTGTATGGGTAGGGTGGAGGGGGGGGGGGGGTGGGGGGGAAGGAGTGCACGTTGAGAGTTCGGTACTGACTGTGAACCGGTCGGTGGTTTGAGTTTCAACTCTGTGCCATGAGCATTGTTAAGGAGTGACCTGTGAGACGTTTTGGATTTCTCACCGAGATATTACTGACAGCAAAAGTTTTGAGTGAGTGCATGTGAGTGATACTTCAGGATATATATGGACCTGAGAAGGTCTGAGGGTGGATACAAATGAACCTGAAAAGGTCTGAGGGTGGATATAAGTGAACCTGACATGGTCTAAGGATGAGAACTATCGGATCAAATACCGTGCAGCTACAATAGCCGAGATCACACGCTCATCGAGCTCGACGGTATCGTTACCGTTACAAACGGAATAGGACAGTTACCTTGGGGTACGCCACAGGTACAATACCTAAAACCCTAAAATCCTACACAGCTACGTCGTCCTATCGATTGAAACTCAATTGGAAATCACTGCTTACACAAAGTCGAGCGCCAGCTGTTGGTTGAACAGGCCTTCTGGAAGTACTGACAGGAGCGTACTTGAGAATTGCAGTTCTGTGAGTGCCGGTGCGGTATCGAAGTATCCGGCCGGGATGACTTGAATGGGATTGGCGCTGAACCATCTGGTGTTTGTACAGTGAGAGATCAAATGGTTTAGTTCACTCCCGGGCTAGTACTACATGAGGTCCTCTTTGAAGTGCATGCGTATGCTTCTGTGCGTTTGGCTAGCTTTTCCAGAGCACGACTTAATAAGTGCGTAGTGCTTCACTGTTGTTGGCAACTTTCAGTATTCCCACTATTATCATTGTCAAGGAATACATAATTCCAACAACACACCACGGGTAGATAGCAGAAGCCCAGAGCGACTATGAGTGATGTGTCTATTTGTAGCGGAATGTACCCCACTTGCAATTAGAAGACATGCGTCTTTTCATCACTTGTCAGCTGGCTGTGCTTCGTTTTTTGCTTATGGTGGCCATGCAAATGAACCCATTCGCAACAACAATGACAGATGGCAGTAACAACAACGTCAAGCAGACATACACGCCACTAGATCACTGATATACCGGATAGCCAGAGGCGGTACTTACAAAATCTCTAGGTCAGGCACTGTATCCAACATTCCAGTGGGTAGAGTGGTTATCTGGTTTTGACATAAGTCCCTGTGAGAGGTTGATTGCAATAGAACAGTTAGAAAGCCCAGCCCCAAACCTCTTACACCTGCGGTGTATTCATTGTCCATCATATGTATGCCGTCGCACTGCCAGACCCGAATAGTTAGTAAGGCTCGATGAACGAGAATGTATAATGGGGTTGTGATGCAACTCAGATACGAGTGAATGCTTCAGTGACTTGCGATTCTGGCTGAATTCCAAAAGTCTACGAGTGAAACTTATCGAAGGTACATACAGATAGGTCAGTTTGACGTTCTTCGCCAGCAGGGTAGATGGAATCGCCGACGTTGTCAACTCATTCAAGTACAACTCTCTACATTTACCGAATGAAAGTCGAGTCAGAGGGGTTGAGTGTGACAAATACATACTGCATACAATAAACAATGGAGGGAGTCGAATGCATACTTCTGCAATATACATGAAAGGCTTATATGGCTTCAATGTGCATAAGGAATCTCAAAAAAGCTTACAATTCTAGTAGGTCGGTCAGGTCGTCGAAGATCCCAGGAGCAAGAAATTTGATACCTTTACTGATAGCCTTTCTGAGGAACGACAGGAGAATGAAAACAGTCAATAACGTGCACGTCATCCAACAAACGGTTTCGATGGAATCGAAGCTAAAATAGTTATCACTCTATATAGATATTCATATAAATTATATACATATATATACTGTCTTCATATATAATATAACCTTCCAAATACGAAAGTTTGCAACAGTAGGACGATACATAAATGCACCATGTGTATATAATAGTCAAGGCAATAAGAACAGTGTTGAATTTCAACATACATCTCTGTGCACTGTGTCAGGTCTTCACCTCCCATGACTTCGCGGATAAGGACACCTTGATCGTCAACGCAGAATGTTCCGCAGTTGGCATCAATATCAGTAGTAGGAAGTGCTGAGCGGAAATGTAAATTCGAGCATCGACGTTAGCATTGTGATACTGAGTTTGTGCCTAGTCTATACGTTGCTAACGCCACTTGAATGAACTACGTACACTGCAACAGGCTCACCTGTTTGTCCGCTGCAAGTCAGGCTATCACAGGTACACATCCCGCTTCCACCGGGGGGGGCAGTGTTGAAGCAACCGCCGATGCAACCACCGTAGGCACACTGTGTATCGAACGAGCTTGTGCACACCGCCTCTGTACATCCGCTCACAAAGGAACATGATGTACATTGGCCAGTGGTCTTATCCTGGTAAAACCCTTGCTCACAGGCACCAGTGGCGCATCTGAAAGTAGGCTCCCACACGGGCGCGGTAGCAGTATCATTAGCCGTCTGGGATGCTACGCACGTGGACTCCAGGCAGTTGGTGAGGCCCGGGGGACAGGCTTCACATTGACACATGTCAGTCCCAGGGTTGATGGTATCGCACCTCTGTCCTTGTGGGCAAAATCCAAAGGTTTTTCTACCGCTGCTACCTGCTGCACAGTGAGAAATGATACAGTGTCTACATATTTTAGACCGCATTATCTTGATGCACCGAATGGGTCAATACCTATGATTCCGAGCAATAACCGCGTAAGATATTCGTACTTACAAGGCGTCTTTAGAAACACTGAATGCGTGTATATAAACAAGTCTGAACATTTAAAACGGGTTTACCTGGTGAGTAAATACCCTCGCCGTTCAGGCAAGGTGTCGATATATTACGATATCCTGATGACGATTTGGTGAACGAGATCTCGTGCAAGCGCAGTGGCTGCAAGAAAGCGTAGTTCTCCTGAGTAGCGACACACATAGCGTCCAAACAAGGTAAACTACACACGTGTAAGATAATTGTGGAGGTGTGGTCATTGCTGGCCACCGCGAATGCCGCATCAAGATCTGCCTCGGAATGGCTTTTAGCGTACTGTCGAGCACACGCTCCCGTGTTATTTTTGTCATTGGTATTCACGCACCAGTCATAGGTGTCAACATCATCGACATTTGGTGAAATGAGAGAAAGATAGCCAGTTATGTAGGCAACAACCCAGTCGTCATCCATGAGATCCCCATCCTTAGTTATTTGAATCCATCCTCCGTCGCACCAATAGTTGTCAGTTGGCTCTACACTGGATGTGACATAGACTTGCGTAAACGCGAATTGAGTCTGAGTTTCCGTGACAGTGGGCGCTGGTCTATTAGACATGTGATACCATGCCTTGTCGATGATCTTGCCGTTTCCGGCCCTCGTGATGCCCTCCTTTTTGAATAGAAGCTTCTTACCATTGAAACTGGGCCAATAGTTTTCCCAGTCTCCAGATTCGGTGGGGTCGGCAATATCAGTGGAAGAAGAAGCTCCCGTGGTATCTGGCCTTTTGCGACCCCCTGCTGCAACCATTGCATCATCACTATCAAAACCAGCATCGCCTGATATCAACTGTGCCTTTGTCAGACCAGTATAAGTGTTACCATCTGCATCGAATCCATCCATATTGAAAGTCTTGCCTTTGTGTGATAAGTATGCTGAAATCGGCTCCTGCGCGCACACTACGGAGGCAGCAACCACCAATAGAGCTGCTCGAATCCTAAATGACTTCATCGTGTAAATATGCACGACAGCCGATAACGAATACGGAAAGGAAAATTATTATCAACTCACAAAAATGCAAAAGTGATGCTCATACTTCTCTTGATCCTGCGTATTTATTTTGTAAATACTATTTGCAAATTAAAACCTGGTCATTTTCTTGCGTTCAAATATTGAAAGCCGGTTTTCAACACCGATTGTCATAGCCTTCTTGTTTGATTTTCAGAAGGCTATACGTTTGTCCATTATTTTTGTCATACCAACAAGAGGATAAAACAAGTGGTTGACAATTGAACAGCTGTTCCGCACAATCTTTTCAACTTCCACATCACACACAACAAGCACGTTCCAACACACACAAATACAAAACTTCAAAATTGGTGCTAGAGCTGCTGAAGCCTTAATGGTGACTATAAATAAGTTGGGGAACTTGGAACTTGGAACTTGGAGGTTTCAAATAAATTTGGCCAATTTCTTCACACAACACTCAAAAGACAAGAAGATAATCGAAAGAAATATGAACCGTTCAAATCCAATTTCAAAACGCAATGTGTCGCAAACTGCAAACACGATGACAGTATGACACTGTCGTATTTTTATCTACTTTTGATTGTTTTGTTTTTAAAAAAAGGTTTATTGCTTTATTATTTAAACCCTTTAACCAATCATAATACTTGTTGTCAAGGATTGGATCGCATACAACGATATAATTGGTTGAAAATTTTATCTTCTCATCAGTTTGCTCTTGTGTGTGTACCTTTCTTTATTTTTGTCTCATTTTTATTTAGGAGGCTAAAAATATGAAATTTGTTGTCAGCCTTGAGCCTGGACCGCCTGGACGCTGCACCCTAGTAGAGAGAGAAGTCTGGGACTGGGTCTAGAAGTTCTAATATTTATTTGCCGGAACTTCGGAAGTCAGGGCTGTCACTGCGTCAAGCACCAAAACCTCGGAGGGACGAGACACGGCCTGTAAAATATGGGATATATGAGTTTTAGAACCCTACCTTGACCGGAGCGTTTTAATACGGTTCGTGGCAAAAAGACTTCCGTCATTTGAAAGTTCGATAGCAACGAGCATTGGCCATTATATTTACTGGCACCTGTCACAGTGGCACTGCCATTCACAGCCTGAGCTAGTAGTGGTCACAGTCAACTGTGGCCAGGGTGAAAAGTGAAGTCTGAAAGTCTGAACTGGTGAACTTGTGAAATGTGAAATCTCTGAAATGTCAATGGTCAAATGTGAAGATATAAACCAGTCATAATTTTAAGTGTCGCCGGCATTACTCTGTCTTGACTCTCTACATAGTAGATAGAGAGAGAGAGCCTAGTTTCGAGTCTCGATTCTCGAGCCCGTGTTGAGATGATTGTCGAATGTAATCTTTCGTTCGTTTTCATAAGTATCAATCCATGACAATCTGAAATCAAACAATCAATCATTGATTCCAAATCGCAATATTTCGAAAACAGTAAAGAAAATTCCACTCTCTCTCTCCTTCTCCCTCCATCTCTCTTTTTCCCTTTCACTCTCACTCTCTCTCTCTCTGACTATTTATTCTACTCACTTACTCGGTCGGAGGGAGTGAAGTAGGAACTAGAACCTGACATGTCAGTTTTTAAGTGTATAATATATTTTCGGAATATTGTACACTTGCTGTGGTAGAATTATTGTTCATTCTCTTTAGTCGACATACACAGAACGAAACTTTGTATGATCGGTATTTGATACAGATGAATATCCACATGTGAATGTACTCCTCTTTCATGTCCATCAATATATCATTGTCGAATATACACTTATATATGAGATGTCCATCAATTCATCATTGTCGAATATACACTTATATATGAGAACATATTTCTGACAATTACGCAAGCAAACACATACGTAGACTTAACAAACCCACGCTTAAACTATTGCATATAAAAACACGCATATTATGTCAAAATCAACTAAATAAAAATGATACATCAATTTTATATGC